AGTGCTAGCTTGAGGAAAGCCCTCATTTCACCAAACCAGACCCTCCTGAGTTCAGATCCCAATCGCTCAGAACTCGGGCCATTCAGGAAGTGCTGTTTAAGCATCAGTCTGCCTGAAGGTCCTTCCAGCTCTGCTTCTGAGTCACCAAATGTGATGTCGGGTTTGTAAGATTCTCCTGAGCCTCCTGCACTAGTGGACCCTTGAGGATGTTCACCGCCTCACTTGTGTTCTGTGCCCTTGATCTGTGTTTTTTTTTTTTTTAATATCTGTCATTTATTGGCAGACAGTAATTAGCTCAAAGAAGCAGGCTATGGAAAGCACACAGAGCGCAACCGGATCCTCCTGGGATATCCTCTCCATCCAGAGTGTGCCCTTTGTGCCCCACTATTATCACCAATGTTACCATCCACTCTTTCCACAATGAGCTAATTCCTGGCTCACTTTGAGGTGTGACTGCTAACTGCCCCCCCACCCATCTTTCTCTTTTCCTTTATAGAACTGAGGTTCTCAGCACTGGGGACCTCCACGAAGAAAGCTAAACACTAATTATGCAATGGCTGGAAATGAAGGTACCAGAAACTTGGGTTCTCTTAGGTTTGGATCCCTAAGCCAAGTGTGATCATAACAGTCATCAACCAAATCAGCACATCACGTGAAGGGGGCTCGTCAATAGCATGTCAGGACCGCCGGCGGACATCCCAGTTCTACTAGTTGGATCAGCAGGCCCAACCAGCTCCCAACCTTTCCAGCTCCTCTGACTCACCCTCCTTGACAATCTCTCCTGGTTTGACTATGATGGTCCTGGGCACTTCTGGGCACTGTGCCCTTCTGCTGAAATTATAGCCCCTAGGGACAGAGGGTGAAGAGTCTGGGCCCCAGCAGCCAGAAAGCATGAGTTCACCTGGCCTGCACCTAGGTCCTCCCATGACCAGTTGTTTGCCTCCTTCAGTGACATCTTTCCACCTGGCCCAAGGGAAGAAACTGGCCACCATTTCTCATAAGATGGCTTCTTTGTTTTTGAAAGCAGCAGGTGGCCATAGAATGAACCCTTCCTATTCCAGTAATATTCTCCTCCTGCTTCTTTCCTAGTAATTTGTTTTGTGAGGAAAGAAGAAAAGCAGGAGGCCCCTCCAAATCAAGCACACTGTGCCTCACGAGGTTGAGCTCCCTGGATGATGTCACTTGGGGCAGAGATGCACGTCGGGTGATCCATAAGGCCACAGCACACTGCTGGGACTGCCCTTGCAAACCTCACAAGTGTGTTTGTCTCTTTCTTAGTGACTTCATCCTCTGTCTCCATCTCAAAGTCCTTTGCATAAAACAGTAGAGAAAGACAAAGCTGCCTGGGTTATTAAATGAATCTTGAACAAAAAGCTAAGGTCCTTCTCACACATTTTCATGTTCTGAAGTCTCCATAGCAGTCAGTGCTTAGAACTCAAATGTCAGGCTCAGGTCATTGTCACACAATGTCCAGCAACTGGGCCAGGGTGGAAGTGCCTTTCTCCAAGTGGCCCTCCCTGCTGCTATTTTACCTCCCTCCTGGGGAGCCAGCTGTGAGCCCCAAACCCAGGTATCCATTTCTAGACATTGTGCTGTCTCATTTGTCCCCATGGACTTGGAGATGAAGGGACCCGGGGCTCTGCATCCAGAATCCATGAGGAAGCCTGAGCCCCTGCTCGTGCCCTCTTGGCCCCTGGCTGCCTGGACTCTGCTGGCGATCCAACAGCCACACTCTTGCTCCTCAGGTCCTTTCCACCACCAGTCTCTTCACAATGTCTCTCCCCCTACTGGAATGGGATTGCCCCTCTTTTCCCAGCAAACACTTTTCATTCTGATTACAAGGAACAGAAACCCAGCAGAACGGGCTCAGACTGAGAGGGCTGCAGGCTCCCGAAACTGTCAGGCAGAGAGAA